GAGAAATGCAAATTAAAATCACAATGAGATATCACCTCACACCAGTAAGGATCGCCACCATCCAAAAGACAAACAACAACAAATGTTGGTGAGGATGTGAAGAAAGGAGAGCCCTCCTACACTGCTGGTGGGAATGTAAATTAATTCAACCATTGTAGAAAGGAGTATGGAGGTTCCTCAAAAAACTCAAAATAGAAATACCATTTGACCCAGGAATTCCACTCCTAGGAATTTACCCAAAGAATGCAGCAGCCCAGTTTGAAAAAGACATAGGCACCCCTATGTTTATCGCAGCACTCTTTACAATAACCAAGAAATGGAAGCAACCTAAGTGTCCATCAGTAGATGAATGGATAAAGAGGATGTGGTACATATACACAATGGCATATTATTCAGCCATAAGAAGAAAACGAGTCCTATCATTTGCAAAAACATGGATGGAGCTAAAGGGTATTATGCTCAGTGAAATAAGCCAGGCAGAAAAAGACAAGTATCAAATGATTTCACTCATCTGTGGAGTATAACAGAAAAAAACTGAAGGAATAAAACAGCAGCAGACTCACAGAACCCAAGAATGGACTAACAGTTACCAAAGGGAAAGGGACTGGGGAGGATGGGTCAGAAGAGAGGGATAAGGGGGGAAAAAAAGGGGCATTACTATTAGCACACATATGTCTGGGAGCAGGGCACGGGGAGGGCTGTACAACACAGAGAAGACAAGTAGTGATTCTGTAGCATCTTACTACGCTGATGGACAGTGGCTGTAATGGAGTATGGCGGGGCGGGGGGGGACTTGACGCTGGGGGGAGTCTAGTAAACATAATGTTGCTCATGTAATTGTATATTAATGATACAAAAAAATTTTCAATGATTATTATTTCAATTAAATGTTTAACTTCTTTATTTCACTTATATTTTCCCTAAATAACATTCATTTGGATATTTCCAAATCTGAGTTTCAATTTTTAAATCTCATCTGTATATACTGTTTATAGGCCATTTAGGTTTTCTAATTTGGTATATTTAGGATTTTCATTTTTCCCTTTGTTAGGTATCTTAAATACTTGTCTCTATATTTCCTGTCTTCCCTGTGCCCACCAAGAATTAGTTTACTTACCAAATCTCCTTTCTGCCTTGCAGTCTAATTTATTTTCACTTACTTTCAGAATGAATCTTATGGTGTTTTGTGTTGTGCTGTGCTTTTAACTCAATTTGTAAAGTGTCTATTTCCATTCATACTGTGAACCTATCTTGGGGCAGACTGCTATGAAGTGTTATACCTTCTAATCATTAATTTAATTAATTAGAGAAGTCATTATAACTTCACTAAAATCTACTGGAATTTTTAGAACCTATATTTAAAGTTTTGTTACTGTTGCAGAAAACAACCTACTAACCAGATTTGGTCTTAAAAAATTGGAAAACTACTCTAAGTGTATTTTTCCAGAAGACATTGCTCAAGTGTTTCATACTTATTCACTCTTAGCACTATGTAAGCCAAACATTTCAAAATAAATTATGTTAGAGGGAAGAAACAAAATGGAATGAGAAGCAAATTGAATGTTGGAAACTATAAGGTTTAATACAATGTAAACATAAACTTAATTTTTTTGAAATTATGAAAAAATACACATTTCTTTTTAGGAATGATAATCTGTGGCAAAACAATATTTGCATAACTGCTATTCATACATTCTTGTAATGTACCCCATTTTTTTGTACTCCATTAGATTTCCTGGTATATTGTTACCATAATTTAGCTTGCATTTTCCTGTGTAATTTGTGTATATTTTTCAGACATTGATTAATTACCTCAACTCTTCCCTATGAAACTCATATGGATATTGCTAAGGAAGTACTTTCTTTGAAATGCATTTTCCATATTATGCATATGTAGATAGGAAGGCTTTTCTAAAAATGTTAAATATCTTTAATTTTGGCCACTGTGATTTACTCAAATCCATGACTCTACTAGTCAAGAGGTGTTCTTATTCTTTAATAGAGAACATCTAACTTAATATAGAAAACCTCTTCAATTTATACTTTTCTCTCAGAAGTTTATATATGCCTTCAATGACTATATGAAGTAAAGATAGATTTCTCTATATATACTTTTGAGATATTTGGGTAAAGGGACAAGTATAATTTTTCATGATAAAGGCTAATACACACACATACACCTCTCCAGAATAATTTCTAGCAGACTATGGAATTCATATGGTTAAAGATTTAACAGCCATGGTGCAGGGAAGTTTAAAAGATGGAGAGCTGGAGGCTGCAAACATCTTACCTGCTTTCCGTCCAGTGTGCAGAGTCTCTTGACCACTCCTGAGTCTAGTTTAATGGCTTCAGTGATATCTGTTAAGACCTGCTCAAAGGAATGAGCAGTCTTCTTATTTAGAAGGATCCGCACGGCTTTTCTAGGCTTCACTCCACTTCGAATGACAGTCACTAATTTGGGTTTGATGAAATCTTTACTTTCCTTCATCTCACTTTTCACCGAGGAGGGAGCAGCCAAGGCTCGCGCTGTCCCACCCTTGATGTTCACAGACCAGTTCGGATTAATATTTTTGGTGTAATCAACTTTACGAAATGGTTCGTTGGACGCACACACGTAACTCTCACCTAAAAAGCAAAAATCAGTTCTATTAGCATGATTATCCGCACCACAGAAGCTCTGTATAGGAAGAACAAACCCTGGAGACCCATTAAGTGAACTCCTAAACTTAACAGGTTTGCTGAAAGGGGGATTCACACCCTTTTTCTTCGGCATCTTCTCCACCCTCCCTTTCTTTTTTATAGCACCTAGATTGGTTTTGGGAGAACATGCACTACAGAGTGAAAACCACTAGGCAAAGAAATCAGACAGATCTGGGATTTATGCCCACCAAATGTGCCACCCTGGATAATTCCTCTGCACTCTGGTTCCCTTTATTACAATCATAAAGTGAAGTTGTTAAACAAGATGAATTGTAAAGTACTTCCCAGTTCCAAAAATCTATTAGCTAACTTAATTTCTTTAAAAAAAAATCTCATTCTGGAAGAAATAATCATATCAGAAAATATATATTCATATAAACAAATAAAACTATTTTTCCTTCTCTTTCCAGTTATAGATTTCAGTACTAATCAATGAACAATCACTCCATCTTCACATAGCTAAGTTATATTCAGTTATAGGATTTTTTTTAATGTAGCAGCACAGATGAAGGAAGAGTTTTGACAACTCAGAGAAACATACCTCAGGCATTTTATTTTTCTTAAAGTAAATTTAAAATAATTAGTTTAAGTAAACAACCTTGTCTATACTTAAACAAAAAGGATTATCATGTAGTTAAAATGATGTGCTCATTTCTCATGTAGCCTTCTGCTTAATTTTTTGTTATGTAAAATAAAAAAATTATACTATTTGTCAATTGGTTTACTGATTCAATGTTCAATTTAATTTTCTCTATATAAAATTTTTATAATTATATGTTTAAAAATCATAATTCATAATTACATATTAAAATTATAGTTTTTATTTCAGGAAACTCAGAAGTCTTCCAATTATTTCATTCTCAACTTTTTGGCATATCAGATGTGAGGGTTACACTCAAAGATTTTCTAAGATATGTTCTAACTCAAAAAGAATCTATTATTTTTTCACATATTCAATAGCCTCATTCTTAATATAAAAATTATATGATACAAGCCTTAATCATGGTGCATGTTTAAAATTAACCAAAATAGCAAAAAGGGGAATTCTTGAAGAAAACCAGTTAATATAAATATTATATTTAACTATTATCAAAATGTTCCTGAAACCTTGGTTAATGGAGAGCTTAAAGACTCCCAAAGGCACATGAACAATTCACTAACAAACAGATCAGGCATATAAGAAAGGTCTAAAAAAGAGATCTAAAAAGGTCTTCTATTTAAAGGTATAATTAGGCGATTGTCCAAGAAAACTAGAGAACCAGTCACAGGCTTCAACATTGCTTCTACACCAGTAATCTGACATGTAGCCCACCATCACCATTTAGAGATTTTTCCTTTTTGTAGGGTTTTCTAAATCATTCTACATAAGTGTAGTCATCTAGGAAAATGGCATGTAATTTCAAAAATAAGTATAAATTTAATAAAATAGAATTATACATCACATGAATGTTTTAATGAGCAAAAATAAACAATTAAGATTTTGCTTTAATTTTATAAGAGAAAGCTAGTCTCACATCGAAAGGCTCTTACAATTTTTACCTATGATACACATGTAATTGTAGGTTCTGATCCAAAATACTAAGATGGAAGAGAAAAAAAGGAATCTCAACAGGAGAAAGTGATTTTTTTTTTCCTAAGACAGGGTGAAGTCAGTTCAGGGGAAAGTTTTTCCCAACATGAAGAGAAAAGCTATTGGCTACAAGAAACAGAACAGGAGCAAGTTTAATATGTTAAATTTCCTTGATCAATCTAGTCCCTGCATGGCTGACGTATCAGCTAGGAGAGTTCAGAATGTCAGAATGAAAATAAGGAGACTTGTCTTTTAATTACAGATTAAATGGTTACAGATTAATGTGGTTATAGATAAATTTTAATCTCCTCCCTCTCTTCTTTCCTCCCTTCATAATGTTTCTATTAAAAAGCTGTAGATCTGTTTATAATAAAAATGTACAGTTTGAACCAGGGCTGACAAATGCCTCCTAGACAGAGCGTCACGCCTTGCCTGCACCCACTGGCAACACAAATGTGAGTTCACAAAGTACTCTGCTGTTAAGCCTAGACTCCCCATCAGGCTAGATACTAAGCACATACTATGTGCCAGCTCACATGTTAGGTGCTGACAAGATATCAAATACACTTGGGCGTCCTTGGCACCCAGTACTTCAGCGCAAAGGTTCAAGACATGGTTTTGAGGTCACACCTGTGTCACCATATACTGGGCACATATATCCCTACAGTATCGTAATAATACTTCGGTAACAATAGCCACCAAGATACACAGGCTAGCTTTCTTTGTCATGTCCCCACTAAGATTGAGCAAGTATAATTCTCTCCTAGTTGTCATTTTGTCACTGACATAGATTTCTCTACAGGGAGAGAATATACTGACAAAAGAATTTAAGATTTTGATTCCCTGGGCACTTGCTGCTAATCAAACAATAAATTATCATTCTCTGTTAGATACTAGGTTACCTACAAGATTCCTTAGAAGAAATCAGCCTCCCCCTAATCAGATTTATGCTGCTGTAGGGATTCTTATTTCACATTTGGTACCCCCTGCCAACTTGCCACTCTCCCTTCCTCGCCATCTGGGTGAGGAACACCACTTCCCACTCAAACTGCTCAGCCAGAAATGTAGGCATCACCCCTCTCTTTGTGGTTTCCTATATACTACATTCTGACATCAAGTTCTCTCCACTCGATCTTCTGAATAATTCTAGAAATGCCCCTTCGCTCTGCCTTTTTGCTACCCACTTCCCGCTTGTCTCAATGCTAGAATCCTCTGTGTTCTGCTCATTCCCCAGACACATAATGAGTTTTCCCCATAGCAGTGCAAGTTATGTTACTGATACAACTGAAAAAGTATATCCTAAAGTAATGAGTCTTGATATACCATAAAATGCTACATAATGAGATAGTTTTTTTAACTCCTACCAATACATATTAAAACTGTGCTTGCCAAAACAAGGGAAGAATAGGCATCACATTTAAAAATTAGAATTAAAATAATATATAAATGTATGTATGTCTATATAACAATATCATATAATGATTTATGAAAAATACAGCAGCCTCTGAAGTCAAGAACTGATCTGACATTCTCAGCTGGGCCTCAGTGTTACAACCTGGTCTCACAGTCAGACCTGTATTCTCACAGTCAGACCTGTGTTCTGTGAGATACAATCTCACAGAATGGCTGTATCGAAGTCATTCTGAAATTATGATAAAGTGACGTAAAATAACATCACTGTGCAACCTATAAAATACCAAACATTCCCCTCTCACACTGCCACTTCTTTACCAATTACAGCTTTTTCTTTAATCTGCCCTCCCTATAAGTAAGATTTAATGAAATACCCAGTCACAGAATTGTCCTTCATTCTGACGGCACCCAATACAGAGCAAGTCCCTGATTCCTTACATCCTCCCTGAAGTTATCTGGCCAAAGCCCAAATTCTATGACAGGTCTAATACCCTCTTATGAAGATGCCCACAGTATCCCATAATGCCCATTCTTCTGCTACAATGGGTAAAAACTCAACTTATTCAACTATAGGTATGTTTGTGGTCTTTGTGATGAAAATTGATATATACACACACATATTCATATTCAAACTCCCTCTCTCTGTTTCTTTCTAATAAGAGCTCTATGCCCATAACAAATTGGGGGGAAATCATCTTGGGAATTAGGATTACATGAATACTAAATACAAAGAAAATCTCCTTTCTGCACAGAAAGATGGATAGAAACATATGGTGGTTCTACAACGTAACTGTTTGCAAGCACATTACAGAATAGAAAGTCTTCCAATTTCCTTCAAGACTCTATAGCAGCCCGGCTACGGCTTCTTACTATTAACATCTGTTCAAAGATACTTTACTTCATCTTTAGCAAGTTGAAAAACTGGAGACAGTTGTGTAATACAACCTAGGTATTTTTTAACCATTCACTTTCATCCTTACACAAATGAACTGCCTCTTGTTTAAGAGGCAAGAGGCTTTTGAAGGCTAGAAACTCCCCAATTCCTATTCTTCTGAAAACCTTCATTCCTACAAATGGATTTCAGTCTGTGCCAATTTTCGCCACCCCCTTTCCCCTGTTAGTGTTAGGGGGACCCTCCTTGTATTCAGCATTGAGTCCCTCCACCAGGATTTGGGTCTTTCCCTCTCCGCATGCTGAGGTTTCAGGGAAATTTTCTTCCTTCTTGCATTTAACCAGACAGCCCCCTCTACAGATTATATGCAAGTGTCTCCTGCCTTAAAACACACACAAATCCTACCCTCTCTTCATTCATCCCACTCTGTCTAATGTGCTTTGGGCTTCCACTCACTGCCAAACTGAAAAGCATTCCTCATTTGTTTTTTTCCCACTTTCTCACCCACTCTTTGCTCTTAAGGTGCTGCAGCGTCATTTTTGCTCCCTGCCCTCCCCCTGGCTGGAACACCCAGATCCCCCAGTATTTCTCTCCTAATTGCCAAATGCAAAGTACATCTTCTAATTTCACTGGTGTCTTCTGAGGGCATTGGACACCAGGCATGATTCTCTTTCTGCAAATCCTTTTTTCTTAGCTTCAATGACCTGATCTCTTCCCTTTCGGTTTACCCCTTACTTCTTTGTTGTTCCTTCTTGGCCCGCTTTTTAGAGTCCTCTTCTCCCACCCATCCACCTCGTCCCACTTAGACTCTGCCCCAAAGGCTTCAATCACCTCCTGACATCTCCAGCCTAGTCCTTTCTCTTAAATTCAAACCACTTAGAGAAAACCTCTACCAGATAATCTACAGATATCTCACATGCCACACGTCTGAAACTAACCTCATTCCCCATTATTGTCATGATCTCAAACTCTCATTTTTCTGAATTCCCCGGCTTACTGAACAAATCACCGCCTACACAGTCAGCTAAGAGAAAACCGAGACTCCTGCCT